GTATGATACAGTAATGATGGACATGTGTCAAACCCCATACAGTGTGCAACACAAGGAGTGAACCATAGCGCAAACTATGAACTTTAGTCAATCATAATTAACCAATATTAGTTCATCAACTGTAATAAATGTACCTTATTAACATAAGATGTAAAAGAATAAGCCAGACTGTGGGGAGGGAGAATGTGGAGGAGGGTACATGGAAACTCTATGTACTTTCCAATCAATTTTACTGCAAACCTAAAACTGCTTTTGAAAAAGTGTATTAAATACACAGACACACAGACACACACACGCGCGCGCGCACACGTGCACCCAAGAGGTTAGGTAATTCACCCAAGGCCAAACAGCTAATCACAGAGGAGGGAGGATTTGAACCCAGGGCTGTTGACTCTAAAGTCCAGACTCTCCATAGTTGCAGCCTCACAGGGCGGGCCTGTTCACGTTTCTATCACCTTCCACGTCAATGCCAGCTGCAGCACCTGTATAACTGAAAATTGTACCTCAAAGGACCAAGCTCAATATTTTGGTTGGTATCAGGAAAGCATAGGCAGAATGAGTCTAGGAACATTGGGGAGGAAAGGAAAAACCCCCAACAGTGCCAGGATGGGTGGGGATGGGAGGCCGACCTTTGGCATTGTGCTAGGGCCCTGGGGAAGGGGGCAAGCAAGCAGATGGAGAGAAACCCCCCTTCTCCTCGGCCATGGCTGTCCTCGCTGGGCCTCAACCCCAGCCCAGCCCTGGGATGATGGTCTGAGGCTTAGCTCAAACACCAGTGGGCTGAGTGACCGCCCCAAGCCTCTGGCCTCAGTTTTCCCATCTGTATCATGGGAGGGTTTGAGCACCCTCGGCTGATCTCCAAGGGCCTTTCCAGCACTCAACTTCTAAAACCCTTTATCTACCCACTCTTTCCTCACCCCCAGTAGCAAAGCAGAGAGGGGGCTGCTTGAGGAAAAGGGAAGGCCAACCCCTGATCCCTCCCTGGTCTGACTGGGGAAGAGCTCCCATCTGCTCCCATGGCTAATCACTGGGCATCCTGACAGTCACCCTCCTAGGACGCAGTTCAAAACTTGGATGAAAGTGGCAGGAAGGCCCATAACAAAGTTAGGCACCTGGTCATCCTGAGCACCAGGGCAGAGCTCTGGCCCTGCCCAAGAGCCTCCACCATCTTTGATAGGGATCAAGGTATAGGTACATTGTGGCCTAGATGACTCACAAATAGTAATGACCCCAAACTTCCCTTACAGTGAAATGCCAGGCATGAAAGGTGCAGGGCCATGGTGACTTGTTTCCATAGGGCTCCAGGATCATGGCCTTGGAGCAGGACCAGGGCCTTTCTGCGGTCCTTCCTTACCACTTCATCCATCCCTGCTCCCAACCCAGCTGTGCCTGTGAAACCACCTTAGCCGTGGAGCCCCTCTGCCTATCCTCAATGCCTGGCGAACTCCTGCTCATCTCAGTTCAGGTAGCCCCTCCTCCGGGAAGCCCTTCCTGACTGGGTCACGATCTCTTCTGGATGCCACAACTCTGTGTTTCCTGACCACTGTGTAGGGGCTTCTGGGAGATGGTGAGATCTATGCAGAATTCAGAAATGAGAAAAGATTTGCAGCACAAAGGGGAGAAGGAAGGGCATTTTAGGTACGGAGACAGCACAGCAGAAGCCTAGGTGGCAGGGAGGGCAGTGATTGGGGCTTCTCCCAGGGCAGAGGGCACCCCAAACAGCTCACCGAGTGGACCGTTTCCCAAAACAAAACAACCAAACCCAAACCTACAAAATGAATTTCTGGCCCCAGGACGAGGGCTGGAGGTGGGGGAGACAGGAAAGATTCCGGAAAGAGCCCAACCAGTGAAATGTGGAACCCACTCATCCCCGGCCCTGCCCTATGCTCTACAGCCCCAGCCTCCTGCAGGTAGCTCACGACTCAGTCTATTTTCCATTGCATAGCCTCATTTGATGGCTTGAACAGAGAGATCCCAGCTGCCACCATCTCACTGTACAGCCTTGGGGAAGTCGCTCTACCTCTCTGGGCCTCGGAGAAGCCCTAGATTCTAACGGAATCTGCAGAGAAGGTAACCAGACCTAGGGGCAGGAAGGAAGTCTAAGTCACAGGGGCAGCTTCCAGTTGGGAGAGGCTTGGGGAAGAGGTGCCTGGAAGGAGGCAGGGAGAGAGGCCTTGAGGTGAAGAGGCAGGTGGTGTCTGTGCCACCCAGGCCCTGCAAGCCTGCTCATTCTGGGGAAATGTTACTCAGTGGCCAAGGCTGGGGCTCAGCCGGAGCCTCCAAGAATCAATCATGCCATAATTAGGGTCACTATTAATCTCTTTCCACGGTGATGCCAGGGCCTCCTGTTTACCCAACACTTCTGTCCCAAGAGACCTCTGATTGTCATTCCTCTCGCGAGGAGGCTGGCAGGGCCCAGAGGTGAAGGTAGACTAGTTCTTCCCCAGCTCAGGAGCCTGCCCGGGGGCCTTGGGTTCTCTTGGTACAGAAAGGACTTCTCTTTCCCAGGTCAGGGCTATGAGCTTGGGCTGAGTAGTCACCAAAAGTGACCTGGCCTTTCCCAGAGGGCACAGCTTAGCATCTCAGAACTCAAAATCTCAGGCTCCAAATGCCCCAAATTGGAGCTCTAGAATCACTTCACCCAAGACTCACAGTGTCATGGAATCCTCATTGAACAATTCAACTGGCATCTTCAAACTATCTCTGGATTTCAGACTGCTAAGTCACACAGTATCAGCGCCAAAGTCCCGGAGGTACTCCATCCAGCCTCCCCTTCCATTCAGAAATCCCCTGTGCCGCTCCTGCTGGTGGTTCTCCAGTCTCTCCAGACCAGCCGGTGGCTTCCCTAGGCTCGCATACTCCTAGTGACAGGCCCCTCCCTCCCTGGAGGGCTGAGTAGTTTTCTCCAAGCCAACAGGACTGTAGGAAGGCCATCCTAAGAAGAGATCCTGCCCCCACCCCCTTCTCCCCCAGTGACACTGACAGGTTCTCTGGGGAGCAGGCAGAGAGAGGGAAGGGCCCCGGGACAACTACTTGGGGGCCGCAGAGACTTTCAGCATCCCCCACCCTCAGTTTGACTTGTGCAAGCCCCTTCCAGGAGCCCAGTGGCTCAGCTGCAGGAGCCAGGCTGGCTTTTTCTGATGGCTCTTCCTCAGACCCAGGGAAGGGGGAGTGGGAAAGTGGGGCACACCAAGTAAATGAAAGGGCGGGGGAGGAGGAGAAGGAGCGTGAGTACAGTGGAGACTTGTACAGAGCAATCTTGTCTCTGTCCTCTCCTGCCCCTCCTTGTACCACTGTGCTCCAAAGACAACACCTACCCAGCTTTCCCACCTCCACGCCTCACTCAGGTTGGGCCCTCTGCCAGGAAAGCCCTCCCCAAATCCCAATCCAAATCCCATCCATCTTAACAAACAGACCCCGTGTAAAGCTTGGGCTAATTCCCCCCAACAAAAGCCCACTGCCTCCTCCTTTTTGTGCTCACATCATCTGGCAGAGCTCCTGAGAATGATCACAGGCCTCAGTGTGCTGTAATTATCTGCTTCCGTGGCTGCCTCGCCCGCCAGACTGAGAGCTTCCCCAGGTTCAGACTTCTGATCCACTTGGCCAAGCTTTTCTGAAGACCTATAGTGTCTGCAGCCCCACACCTGGTGATGGGGACATAAGATATGCCAGGCCCTGTCCTTACTAGAAGAGTCACTGTATAGGGGACCTATGTCCCCTGCACTGGGCCTGGCACCAAGGAGGTACCTAATTAGTTGTCAGTCAAAAAGCTGGTTAAATGCAAGATGGAAGGAAAAAAAAGAACCAATCAAAGCATCTTACACCACACAACTGCAGAGCCACTTCTGAAAGCCTGAATTCTGCCTCTGAATAATAATTAGCCTTTTCCCAATTTACAGAAAAAAATTAAGTTACTAAAAAAAAAAAAGAAAAAAAAGAAAACTAAATTACGTACTTTTCTCTCACAAATTTTTCTTAAACCTCTGATATCCATTTGCACATTTCTATACCATATCTAGTGTAAGATGACCCCAGATCTAGCACAGGATACTAATTTCATCACTGTCATGAACACTGCTACTCTTCACAGTCTTCTGCAAAGAGCAGCAGTCTCCCTGCTTCCAGGCATGTCGGAGAACCTGGGGCCTAAACTTTTCCTCTCTTCCTTCAAATGGCCAGGTTTCACCTTGGTGACCAATGAAAACCGAGTTTGCTTGAATGCTGAGGAAGAAAGTCCCAGGAGTTGGCTGGCCCACCTTGAAGGTTCATGACAGTTCCATGATATAAGGCCTCCAAATCCACTATTTGTCATTCATTCCTTTGGAGGAAGCATCACTTTCTCTAGGATTCTCTTTTAAAATATAAATCTTCTCTGGAGTTGGGAGCCCATTCAACCCTCAGATTGGAGGTCAAGGAAACTTAGTTTAATGCTGGGCTCTTGAGGGGCAGTAAATCACAGGGTTTGTGAAGAGGTCAGCCTGCCTGGGTTTTTATTTATTTTAATTTTTTTTTTAGAGACAGTCTCACTCTGTCACCCAGGCTGGAGTGTAGTGGCACAATCATAGCTCACTGGAACTCGAACTCCTGGGCTCAAGCGATCTTCCTGCCTCAGCTTCCCAAGTAGTTGGGACTACAGGTGCGTGCCACCGTGCCTGGCGACCTGGCTGGGTTTGAAACCCAACTCTACCATGTATTTAATGGAGCAAGTTTCTAAATGCCTTTATACCTCAGCTTCCTTATCTATAAAGTGGGGATAACCATGGTATCAGCCTCATGGGCTCTCAGACAAGTACCTGGAACGCTGTACTAAGCAAGAGACAAGTCTACTCAGAGCTTCAGTTTTTCCTGTCCATAAAATGGGACAATAATCCCATTTATGCCTTTTCATAAACCGTAGAGTGCTGCCCCCATGGGGGAGGTGGACATTGTGTAAGAACCCAGACAGCTGCCCTCTGCAGCCTGTCTTGAACTCCTTTCTCCCTCCCTCCTTTTCTCTTTACCTGGAAGAAGGTACCAGTGGCTGTGAGCTGGGCTCCTGGGGGTGTCCTGTCCACAGAGGCAGTGATATCACTTCACTGGGAGAGCTGAGAGGAAAAGGGGATAAACCCAGTGAGTTCATTCATCAGTTCATCCTGCCTTCTACTGTCCCACTTGACCCTTAGTGAGTGCCCATCCCATGCTGAGTGTGGGGCCCAGTGATGGGTGACACCAAGTCCCTGCCCTGGGGAAGCCACAAAGCTGGTGGGAGGGCTGACAGGACATACGTGATCTAATCCCCAGCCATGAAACCCGGCACATGCAATCCACCTCCACGCATGCTGCCCACAAACCAGCCCTAGGCCCAACCCATACAACCTGTTCCCTGAACCACTCCTGCCCCTCCAGGACCCACGGACCCAGGATCCAAAGCTCAGCCACCCTGGGGGCAGAGGCCCTTTCACGCTGCCCAGGGACCTGTTTCTCTGAGGTAGTTGCCAAACCAGCTGTTCTTCTAAAGCAGCCGCTAAGGGAAGGACGGTAGCCCGGAGGTGGGATCTGGGGCACCACAATTACGTGCCTGAGCTCTGACTCATGCACCACCTCCCCCATCACCAGCTCCAGCAGCCAGCAGGGCAACCCCCTGCCCAGGAACTGGGAAAAGAGATGGTATCGACAGGCCATGGGAAGCAGAGGGGCCAGGAGAGGTGAGGAGGAGACTGCAGGTCAGCATTGCAGGCCTCAGAGGATGCTAACACCTTGTCTACTAGGGACACTGAGGCTGCAGGGACGGAGGCCTACCTACATTACACAGAGGCAGAGCCAGGGCTGGGACCTGAGCCTCCTGGTGCCAATATGACAACTCTCCCCAACCCAACTGTACTCTAGAGCCACACACTGGCAAGAAACATACGGTCAAACCCACGTCTCTGTGTGTGAACCAGAGGTGGACAGAGCTGGACTCAGAGACAGCTGGGAAATGACAGCCACTGAGAGATCAGCACTTGGGACACTACCAGGCCTGCCCCTCTCCACCTCCAGTCCCCAGATTTCTCACAGTGCCCTGAATGTACAGCACTTTACAGTTTATAAAACATACTTATTTCCTCTACCCCCTACAATGATCCTAAGGCCTAAGTGGCAGAGGAAATAAAAATAGACCAGTGGCTTCTCCTCTAAACTTTAATGTTTGAGAAGCCATGGTCTATTTATATTTCCTGGGGCCTTGGACCTCAGAAACCTAGGGAACTTGTTAAAATGCAGTCTGACTCAGTAAGTCTAGGCTGGGGCCTGAGATTCTGCATTTCTGATAAGCTCCCAGGTGATGCTGATGCTGCAGGTCCCTGGACCACAATTTGAGGAGCAAGGCCAGAATGAGTCAAGAGCATGGGACCTGGAGTCAAACTACACAAGTTAGAATCTTGGCTCTTACTGTGTGACCTTGGGCAAATTACTTAACCTTTCTGTGCCTCAATCTCCTTAGGTATAAAATACTACGAATAATAAAACCTACCCCATAGGGTCAATGTGGGGATTAAATTAGTTACCATACGTAAAACACTTAAAGTGACTATTATTTCAGATTTTGAAATGGAGGTTCTGAGAAGTGAACACACCCAGCAAGGCAGCAGAGCCAGAATTCAAGCTCAAACCTATAAGCTGCACAAAACGTCACAGCCATCAAACCGCTCCCCCATCAGACAGACATGGATATTGAGGCCCAGATAGGGGCAGAAAACTGAAATGACCACCAGAAAGCTGGTGTGAGACATACAAGTCCATGACTCCGTCCCAGTGCTCCTTCCACCACACCTTATGGCCTGTCAGAAAAGAAAGTACCGCAGAGTCTCCTCAGGGCTCTCAGCTCTGCTGTCAGCCTTACCTGGTCCCACAGCTGCCCTGGAAACTACCTGTGGGGTTGGCTGGACGTGGAGGCCGTCCCCATCCCCACTCTGTCTTCTCTCCATCCTGCCCACCAGGCTGGGTGAGGCAGAATGGTCTCACATCCTCCTGCCATTCCCCTCCTCCTCCCTCCAGCCTGTGCCCACTATCCTGTGTCAGGTCACCCAGCTGGGGTCTCAGGCTGAGGGTGACACGCCCGGGTCTGGCTCCACTCCCACCTTGCCTTCCCAGCACGGGGCCAATGGGAGGCTGTGAGTCACTGAAGGAAGTGCTCGGCCCCAAACAGGAAGAGGCTCTTCAAGCAGAAACTCCCTGCAGGATCCCCCAGTGCCCTGGGGCAGATGGCTTAGTAGTGGAAGCTGGTGAAGGAAGGGAAGCTGATTGGGACACAGCAACATCTGCTCAGATTTTACCTGACATTCAAACTTGGCACTCACCCTCCACTTTTTGCTGCCTGGCCTGAGGACTTTTCTGCTGTGGACTGGCTGTGCGTCTTACGTACATCAGTATCAGTACCCTCTCTGATCCTCATTCATAGGATCATGGACTGCACTAAAAGACTGCTATAGCCTGGTAATCTACATGAAATGAAGGGTTGGAGCAAGTGAATACAGGGTTTTATTTTATTTCTGAGACAGACTTTCGCTCTTGTTGCCCAGGTTAGAATGCAATGGTGCAATCTCGGCTCACTGCAACCTCTGCCTCTCGGGTTCAAGTGATTCTCTTGCCTCAGCCTGCTGAATAGCTGCGATTACAGGCACACACCACACCCAGCTAATTTTTGTATCTTTACTAGAGACAGGGTTTCACCATGTTGGCCAGGCTGGTCTTGAACTTCTGACCTCAGGTGATCCACCCGCCTTGGCCTCCCAAAGTGCTGGGATTATAGGCGTGAGCCACTGCACCTTGCAAATATAGGGTTTTAAGTGAATGAACAAACGCACATGAGTGAAATGAATGAGTGAATTAAGATACCTAGATGGGGCCGGGCGCGGTGACTCAAGCCTGTAATCCCAGCACTTTGGGAGGCCGAGATGGGTGGATCACGAGGTCAGGAGATCGAGACCATCCTGTCTAACACGGTGAAACCCCATCTCTACTAAAAAATACAAAAAAAAAAACTAGCCGGGCGAGGTGGCGGGCGCCTGTAGTCCCAGCTACTCGGGAGGCTGAGACAGGAGAATGGCGTGAACCCAGGAGGCGGAACAGATCCGGCCACTGCACTCCAGCCTGGGCGACAGAGCGAGACTCTGTCTTGGAAAAAAAAAAAAAGAAAGATACCTAGATGTAAAACTCTAGCTATAGCATAAGATCTATCATTTGTCTATTGTTCACTGTATGATAGAGAACTCTTTATTGGCAAGAAGATTCACCCCCCGAACACCCTTACACAGGGAAAAGGGACCCCCACACATCTCACACACACACACACACACACACACACACACTCTCTCTCACAAATAAATTCATTAGACTACACAGGAGCCTCTGTCACATTACACTCATGTGACCTGTAATCCTAAACATTCGCTCCTGATTAACACCTGTAAGGCTCCAGTTAAACTCTTCTCTGTTTCTTTTCTTTTTTTTTTTTTTAAGGCATGAGTTGGGGACTGGGTCTTACTATGCTGCCCAGGCTGGAGTGCAGTGGCTATTCTCAGGCACAGTCATAACACACTACAGGCTTGAACTCCCAGACTCAAGTAACCCTCTGGCCTCAGCCTCCCGAGTAGCTGGGACTACAGGCACGCTACCATGCCAGGCCTTTCCATTTCTTGAACTTGAAGAACAAAAGGTGATTCTGTGAAGATGCTGTAAAGGTCTACGGGTCGTGTTGCTGCTGAGGGGGGAGATGGATGCTGCTTGGGGGAGGGGTGCAGCGGGGGTGAGGCCTGAATGGCAAAAATATACAAGGGAGACACAAGTTAGCTTGTCAAAGCCTTCCTCCCAGACAGCAGTGAGCACGAGTTTCTTGCATAAGCAAGCATCTCTATTCCAGTCCTGCTGTGCATCCTTTATTTTGGCATTTCTTCCTGCTCCAATTTGTGGTTCTAAAAGTACTCATGAATTAGTGTGATATTCACAAAAATGCACATGGTGGCTGAGGAACATCTTATAATATTCTGCAACTCATATTAATGTAACACGAAGTCTGGTATTAATTCTTTAAATTTGCAACTAGATGGACATTGAATACTAGAACTGTGAATAGTTTCATTTCTATAAAATTTTCAAAAATTGAATTAATATTTCATGTCTATTTAAAGATTTTATTTAAAAATCTGATCTTCATTCGTTGTGATGGGTATTGTTTTCATTTTAATAGATCATTTTATGGAATAAAAACCCTCTTGAAAACATAAAATAAATTTGCCTATGTTTATATTTACATTCGTTTACTTTTTATTTATTTATTTATTTATTTATTTATTTATTTTGAGACAGAATCTCGCTCTGTCACCCAGGCTAGAAGGCTGGAGTGCAGAGGTAAGATCTTGGTTCACTGCAACCTCTGCCTCCCAGGTTCAAGTTATTTTCCTGCCTCAGCCTCTCAAGTGGCTGGGATTACAGGCATGTGTCACCATGCCCAACTAATTTTTATATTTTTAGAAGAGATGGGATTTTACCATGTTGGCCAGGCTGGTCTTGAACTCCTGACCTCAGTGATTTGCTTGCCTCAGCCTCAGTGCTGAGATTACAGGTGTGAGCCACTGCAACTGGCCACAGCTCATTTTTATTTATTTCATAAAATCTTTATTTTAGCAAGATCACTAATTATATTGTTATAATCAAGATTTTCATCACTTGTGTTCTGTTGATAGCAATAATCTAAAGTACTAAAAATAAAATGTGTTTGTATTTAAAGTATACAAAATTTGATGGCCACATGCTGTGGCTCACGCTTATAATCCCAGCACTCTGAGGGCCTAGGCAGGCAGATCACCTGAGGTCAGGAGTTCAAAACCAGCCTGGCCAACATGGTGAAATCCCGTCTCTACTAAACAAAAAAAAAATTAGCCGGGTGTGGTGGCACACGCCTGTAGTCCCAGCCATTCAGGAGGCTGAGGCAGGAGAATCACTTGAATCAGGGAGGCAGAGGTTGCAGTGCACTACCATCATGCCACTGCACTCCAGCCTGGGCAACAGAGTGAGACTCCATCTCAACAACAATAACAAAATACATACAAAGGCTGGG